GGGGATAGGATGTGTGTGGAGATTGATTGATTGATTGTTGATGTTTGGGAAATAGGGGGCACGAAGTGCAAACCAGGTGAGCTCCCTCCCCGCCTTTTTTTTTTTTTTTCCCCGACATCTTGTCCATGCCAACACAGTCCGGACAGTCCGGTGTCCGGTGATGTCCGGAACACCGGACAGTCCAGACTGGTCTAGACACAGGTCAGGGAAAAAGTCCGGAAGTGTCCAGTGTCCAGGTCCGAGGTTACCATGGATCTTACTTTGAAGATGATAATTACGAAACTGACGCTGATATTTAAAAGGTGGTGAAAAGATTGTCCGGTAGTTAATTAGATAAGAAAATATACTAAGAAAATATAATTATGAGTTATAAGCGAGTAAAAATCAAGCAAAAGAAATCAACTACAATGAATAAAACTTGATGAGAATTTCAGTAGGAATATTACTGAAGGACCAGATTCGTGGGCAAGGAATAACCTATCAATAAAAAAAAGAAATGCGTGAGACATTCCCCCAATCTCCTCCCCCCTTCTATCCCTATTTCCTTACCTCCCTATGCCCCCACCTTCCTTCCCCTTATCCCCTCATTTTCCCCCTTACTCTTTTGTTTCCCACCCCTTCCCCCACCCTTTCCCTCTATCACTTCATTCACCACCCTGCAGCCAGCATGCAGTAGCCCGCCACTCAACCAGCGCCCAACACTTGGCCACGCAGCAGTCAGCGCCCAGCAGCCTACCACGCAGCCACTGCCCAGCAGCCTGCCTCGTATCCAGCACCCAACAACCTGCCACGCAGCCAGTGCCCAGCAGCCCGCCATGCAGCCAGCGCCCAGCAGCCCACCACGCAGCCAGCGCCCAGTACTAGCAAGCAGGCGTCCCACTACGTTGTGTGCAGGCTCCCACTGATCAAAACCACAAACTATAAATGATGGAGGCAGCAAGAGAAAAAGGAGAGAAGGGAGAGAGATGATTAAAGAAGCGAAGGCAAAGGGTAAGGAGGAGGAGAGAAGCATAGATATAGAAAAAAAGCAGGAACAAAGAATGAATCATGGAAAAGAACCCCGCCCCCACCACAAACAAACATCCCCTGCTCACTCACCTCAATACTGAGGAAGATGGTGATGATAATGTGACTGGTGAAAACGACCTCTGAGATGATGATTATGACATGACTGATGAAAACGACCTCTGAGATGATGATGATGATGATGATATGGCTAATGGAAACAACCACCAATGATGATACAATGCTACTATTATCATGACTCCATCGATGATAGTGATAATGGAAAAGATGTCGATGAAGATGATCCTTAATGGGTGGATCCCATCGAGCGCAACTTAGCGCTGCATGGGTGTGTGCGTCTACGATGCTGCTAGCGCTGCATGGGTGCATATGCCCACGATGCTGCTTTGGCAGCAAGCAAGTGGCGAGGCAAAGGCGGCGTGGAAGTGGTGAGGCGCTGGCCACGGATGAACGGCGAGGCGCTGGCTGCTAGCAGGCGACGAGGCGCTGACTTCCTATGGGTGGCGAGGCGCTGGTCATAAGCGAGTAGCGGGGCGCTGGCTTTTCACATGTGGTGAGGCGCTGGTGGCTTGCACGCGGCGGGTTGCTGGCTGCTTGTAGGAAATGAGAGCGCTGATGTGGCATGAACACCCAAAAACTGCGTGAGTAGTATACGACAGAAGTGGTGAAGTGGTCAGAGTGAGCGCTTAATGCACGAGCGGAAACCAGAGGCACTAGGCCAAGCCACGTCACGGGCTGACGAGGCATCTGGTCTAAGTCACAGTGGCGAGGGAAGAGTAGTGGCGGTGTCGGCTGCTCGAACAGTCTCTCTGTGACTTCCACACGAAGTACTTCACAGCTAACACCCCTTTAGGAGACTGTAATGCTCACGCAAGTTGGTGCAATGCCAATGTCGGTGGAAGAAAGTGGAGTTCGCCCCATGGAGGCCGAAGTGCGTTGGACTTCGCTTGTCTACGTCATCACAGCGCTGGCCCGCATTCTCATGAGGAGGATCATCAAGGAGTCATCATCAAGGGAACTGCTCATTTTTGTTTTTTTTATTGTTTATCTTGTGCAGGTTATCCATCAAGAGCATCAAGATTATCATCATTGTCATCTCTGCGGGGAATCATAATCCGGAGTCGTTCATACTAAAGTGTATCAATTCATAATTCTTCATTACGGGTCAATGGGTCATCATCTTCACTGGTCATTATTTTCCTACTAATCATTGTCATCTTCTTTTATTATTACAGCAATAGTGTTGTCAATCTTCCACACCGGTGCCATTAGGGTATCGCAAGTTCAAACGTTCCTTATTTATTTCTCGCCAATTTTATTTCATCATCATCATCATCATCATCATCATCATCATTATCATCATCATCATCATCATCATCATCATCATCATCATCATCATCGAAGTTCCTTTATTCTTTTTTTCATCAATCAGTAGATATCTCTATGTTGGTGGTTATATTCTCTTCACCCAAATTGGTTATGGTCTAGTTGGTAGGTAGGTTGGTCAGGAAGGGAGCGCTACTACGCAGGGGTAACACAAGGTGGGAGGTGATTGCCCTCTAGGGAGTAGACGCAGATGATGGGAGTTGACCTGGGTTGGGGCTGGGAGATATGTATGGGGGCACATTATATCCTCGCGGAGGCAGACTAGGTCAGAGTGTCGGATTTGAGGTACACCTTTTGCAGGAACTGGTTACTTCAAGGCAGAAAGGAATGGGGAGGATATCTCTCTCGTTGTGGCTGATAGGACCTTCATACTGATAGTGGGGTTTAGATCAGCGGAGAAAGCGAGAGGAGAAGAGGTGAACAGGAAACGAGAGGAGAGGAGGAGAGCACATGGAGGAGGGGGAGGGGTGAAGAGGAATAGACATCAACATCCTCATCATTATCCACCAATTTAGTGATCATCTCAGGGTACTCGTCAAATTTCATCATCAGAAAGGTTTTTATCAGGATTCTGATATTATCAGATCCTAGATTTATAGTTGGCATTCTAGCTTAGCTAATTTCCTTATTGAGCCTTTTTGTGAAATGGTCAGGTTGAGTTGGCGCTAGAACGACGCTGGCCGGTGCTGGGGCGGTGCCCTGTAACCTGCTTTAGTAGGAGCTTGAGGCTTTGTATAGAGGTCAAGGATTGCTGAGGGAGGAAAGTGATCTGCTAACTTGACTAATGGCTACAATCTGGCCGACGATGCCCTGTAACCGAGCCAGGAAAAGGCCTGATTGGTGCACAACACAGACTCGGCTGTGATTGGTTGGTTGGAATGGATACAAGAATTTAGGGATATGATAGTATTTGAGTGTTGGGTAGACAATCATTCTGATTAGTCATCTTCTATCTCTATTTAATGATCTCAATCATCCACTCTATCATCCTGAATCATCCTAAATCATCCTAAATGATCCTCAATCATCCCAAATTATCATCAATGATCATCAGTGATCATCAATCATGAATGTATTTCCATTATAAGGGACGCTGGGCCAGGTTCCCAACACGTGCTGGTCCCCACGAAAAAAAAAGAAAAAAAAAAGAGGCCAACTGCTGCCCCTCTTCGCTGGATATCGCCGCTTTAGGCGAATACTCCTAAGTGTTTAATTAGTTCTTTTGGTTTTGGTTTCTATCCCTTCTCGCCTCAGGTACACGGTTGTGGCTTGACACAACATGTTGGGCTTGTTCTCATCGATCAGATAATGGTAACTGTGGTAACCCTAATAGGAATTGTGTGGTGCATTATGATTTAGAATTGATCGCAACACTAATAAGGAATTTCATTGTGGTATCCTTGTTGGGACAATAATTTTTTTGTGGTAACTTTGGCAACCCTAATTAGGAATTACGTAGAGCATTACGACTTAGGAATTAATCAAGACCCTAATTAGGATTAATTCGGTGCCTTTGTTTTGATGACATTGTTCTTTAGAGAGAGCATTAATTAGGATTAGTTTGGTGCGTTTGTTTTTCATGCTTCTTGACTACGGGTTGCTGTGTGTTTAATTGGTATTTTTGGAAAGCGGGTGTCGGGGATTTGGTAGATTTTTTCGTTGCGGAGTTTTTAGGAATCGGGGATTTGGTAGTGTTTTTTTTTTTGGAGGATAGTGGTTTTCTAAAGGGATGGGCTCCACCCGACGAAGCGAGATTAGAGACCTTGCGGCCCCTGAATTTGCAGCTTTTTGACATTGTATTTCTACCTTGGGCACTGGGCCCCAATAAAACTACTGTTTTTTTTTGAAAAAAAATAAATAAAGAGGAAAAGGCTCAGCATGAAAAATGATTGAAATTTTATCAACTATAAAATTCCGCAAAAAAATTAGAGAATCCATTTTACAAGTCAATCTTGGTAGTCATCCTGTGAGATCAGAGCGAAAACTCTGATTTACGAATTTCAGACTAAGGGTGGGACCCCACAGGCTGGAGGCCTGGAAAGCGGTCTGGCGGAAGTCGGCGGCGTGGGGCCGCCGCAAACGGAAAGCGAGCAGAACAGGGGACCCCACCGCCACCATGAAAATGTGCCCCGTCCCGCTCCACGCTTTCCCGAACAGGAAAATTGACCCCGAACTCTCCCGAAAAGGAAAGCGTGCCTGTTCCGTTTGTGTTCTTGGGTCCACGCCCGTAGGCGCGCAGGCGTGTGACGCATTCTGTGTGCACCAACGTATGACCGTGTGGGTGACGTTGTCGCTTCAACGGGTGAAACTGTGCGACACCGGGAGGTCTGAACAGGTGGGGGGAAGGAAGGGGGGGCGCTCAGCATAAAAAGAATACATTTCTACCCCGGACCGCTAGAAGGATGGTTCAACGACCGCATTTTTTGAATACCTGGTCTGTTGTGCCGTTGTGCTACTCATATGGTGTGACTGAATGTGCGAGTTGTTGTTGGCGATCCCCTTCCCCGTCTGCTGCGCCGTGCTGCCATCTCCGTGTCATCGCAAATAGAAGAGAAGTGTCGTTGGGGGTGTTGGCGGGCTTGGAGACAGGATAGGGAGGTTGGGGCAGGCAGAGGAGCGGAGACATGGACGACGAGTGGGAAGGTTGGCTGTTGTTTTTCGTGCTTGCTGTCATCCAGTGGGTGAGTCAGCGTAATGTGGCAGCCATGGCTGTCCTCGAGGCGGCTGCTATTTTGCCACAGCGCGACAATGAATTGGCCATGGCCATGACGATGCTTGGAGGCGTCGTTTGCCATAGCCTTTCTATGTTGTCCGCGTTATAGGTCGGTGTAGACGACCGCATGCGGGGCAGGAGGAGAGTGTGGGTGGTGGAAAGGAGTGGTGTTTTGTGGAAGGCCCTGCAGCGGCAAGGACTCTGACATGACAAGGTATTCAAGAGGTTTTGCAGGCTCCCCCATCCACTTTTCAACGAAATCGTGCAGCAGATTGGACCTCATATCCAGCAAGCCACGACGAATTGGAGACAGCCATTGCCCGCGGAGCAAAAGTTTGCTTATGCATTGATAAGGTGGGCAACGAGAGGGTTTTACAGGCAGTCCAACCATGGTGTGGGAATGAGACTTGCAAGTGCCCTGCGGAGCAATAAGGACGTCGCTGACGCAATCATCAAGGAGTATCCGAACGTGGTAGCTTTTCCGGAAGGTCGTCGACTGCAAAACGTCATGGACGCCTTCGAACGGAAGGGCTTCCCTGGCTGTGTAGCTACAATCGATTGCACACATCTATACATAGAGAAGCCAAAGAAGGAGCATGTTGCGTGCTACTACGACCGGACAGGGCAATTCTTGCGCAGGTCATGTGCGATCACGAGTGCCGCATTCTTGATGTCTTTGTCGGTTGTCCCATCCTGGCATGACATTCGAGCACTCAAATTGTCCACCCTCACTAGCGACTACGACAACATCGTGGGTATCCTACACGGAGAGCCAGCCACACTTCGTGACGGGAGCAGCATTGACCCTTACCTGCTCGGTGACACCGGTTATCCTTTGTTGTCATGGATCATGACGCCGCATCCTACCAACAGATCTCGCAGTCCCGAACATGTGGTGTTCGATGACATGTACACGACGGCGAGGAGCTGCATAGAACATACATTTGGGTTCCTCAAGGCGATTTGGAGGAATTTCGGACGTCGCCACATCAACAATCTGAAGATAATTTGTAAGGTGTTCATGGCCTGCTGTATACTACACAACATCTTGTTGGATCACAAGGTGGACATGAACGGTTTGACTGCAAACGACAACGACGATTCTGACGACGATGACTCGGATGATGGGCGTCGACGCAGTCGTCGAGCCGAGCCGCCCCTGCAGGAGGGGAACGCCATGGCTGAGCACATAGTGGAGGCGTACGACTTGGAGTTGAACAAGGCAATCAGGAAAAGGTTGGTATGCCATGTCACCCATCACACAAGAGTGCATGGTGCCCCGGAACCAAGTCCTTGGTTGTGACACGTAACGACACGGGGTCGTGTGTGGAACAACAAGACGGACATGTGGTTCAAGTTGAGTGAGAGGAAGTGGAACAAGATATATGACTTCTTGTTCCTGCAAACACGGCCGAGGAAGGACACTGACATCGAGTACGTGCGCTGCAGGGACCACATGTTCGCACTGCTCGGCAACTACCAAGGCGCCTCCCGCATGAACACGAAGACATTCCTCGAAAGGTTGCAGTCCCTGTACTTCGTGGAGTCAGAGGATGAGTTGAAGTTCAGCAGTCACTCTTCCGTGATCTCCATGGAAGACGAGGAAACCACAAGCGTCAAATTCGACGCAAATGCAAACGAGGAGGAGAGCGACACCGAGAGCCTCGACCTGCATTACAACCCACCTCCCGCACAACACGCCCCAGGGTTGTCGTCGGTAGGTCCTTCAACAAGCCCGACATCCCTTGTGTCACCGATGGCGAAACCGGCGCCTGGCACAACCCCGATGAAGTTGCTGGAGAGACTGAAAGCTCTCGCCGTCACCCATCGCACATTGCGTCCCAGGTCCGACATCCCACCCGATCATCTGTCTTGGAAGGATGACAACATTCACTTCCTTGCTGAGCCGCAAAGTCATTCGCTTGAGGTGGACTGGGGCCATGACATGATTTGGCATCCAGGAGTCATCCAGCAGACGATCCGAAAGGGCGAGTACATCATGGCCATCACTGTCTCGGGCGGAGGATGGATGCCAGGCCATGACATGATTTGGCATCCAAGAGTCATCC